CGGAGACCTTCACGGGGGATGGGGAAGGGGGGAGGGGAAGTGGGATTAAATCGGGCCTGTCTCTACAGGGGGGAAATTCAAAAATAGTCCAAAAAAATTCGCCAGCCCAACGGGCCAGGGCGTGCTAAGATCTCCGGTACCTGGTTAACAGTATTTCTAGTTCGCGCGCGCGGGGCGGCCCCTGGGGGTCCCCGGGCGAAAAGGAACCCGGCAAGGTCCCGGCAAGTCCCCGGCAAGTCCCCGGCAAGGTCGGGTCAGAGATGCCGGAGTTCTGTTTCGGAGTCCAAGAGGGCTCCAGATCGGTCCAAGAGGGCCCCGAGAAGCTTTCTAGACGGTCCAAGAGAGGCCCGAGACGGCCAAAGATCGCCCGAAGACGCCCCAGATGGCCCCAAGACAGCCCAAGAGGCCTCCAAGACGCTCCAAGGGCCTTCCAAGAGGCCTCCGAAGAGGGCCCCAAGTTGCCAAAATCGTTGATTTTCATTGGTTTTTTCGATGTTTTTTTGCGTTCTGGCCTTTTCGCTTCCGGACGCTCCAAGAGGGCCCAAGAGGCCTTCAAGACTGCTCCAAGACGGCCCACGAGGCTCCCAAGACGGCCCCGGAGCGGCCCAAGAGCGCCCCCCAGACGGCCCAAGTGCTGCCCAAGGCGGACCAAGAGGCCCCAAGACGGGCCCAAGAGGGGCTCAAGAAGGGAACCGAGAACTGAAAAATCGAGCCCTCCGCCCCAGAAGGCGCCCAGGACCCCGAAAGAGGCCCCAAGAGACTCTCCAAGACACCCCCAAGACGCCCCAATAAGCTCCCGTGAGGCCCCAAGAGGACCAACAACGTCAGGCCCCAGGCCCCAAGAGGACCAACAAATACCGCCAAGAGCCCGCCGAAAGCCCCCCAAGAGACCGTCACGAGAGCTCAGGAGGCCCCCTGGAGGCCTCCCGAGTTCTCCAAGAGGCCTAAAAAGAGGCGCCAAGAGGCCCCAAACGGCCCCACCGAGGCTCCAAGAGGCCACGAACGCGCAAGCAAACGCCTGCGATGGCACAATACGGGCCGGCGGAATGAGCGAAGCGATTAAATAATATGGGGACGACGTCTTCACTATTTTTAACCATTTGGGAAGATTTGTTGAATATTTTTATTTTTCGCCCAAAATACGCCAGTAGGGGCACATGCCCGACCTAAAAGTGCGAGGAAGAAACATGAGGATGAGAAGGGGAAGTGGGAAGAAGAGAGCGAGTTCCCCTTGACATCTTGCACGCAGCGCAATACTCACCATCCGAATCATGATCCTGATATGTAGCACCCCGCAGTTGCGGATAAGAGTGAAGGGGCGGGCGCGGTGTGGGTCGCAGGTGGGTCGCAGGCGGGTCGCGGGTGGGTCGCCGGTGGGTCGCGGGTGGGTCGAGGGTGGGTCGCGGGTGGGTCGCGGGGTGGGTCGCGGGTGTGCCTCGCGGGTTGGTCGCGGGTGGGTCCTGGGTGGGTCGCGGGTGGGTCGGGGCGGGTTGCAAGCGGGTCGCGGGCGGGTCGCGGGTGGGTCGCAGGCCGGGTCGCTTGTGGGGCAACAACAGCAACGACTACAACAAAAACAACAAAAATAACAAAACCAACAACAACAACAAAACCACCAACAACAACAACAACAACAACAACAACAACAACAACAACAACAACAACAACAACAACAACAACGACGACGACGACGACGACGACAACAACAGCAACAACAACAACAAAACCAACAACAACAACAACAACAACAACAACAACAACAACAACAACAACAACAACAATGACGACAACGACAACGACAACGACAACCACAACAGCATCAACAACAAAAACAACAATAACAACAACGACGACAACAAGTAGTTTAAAGTTGTTCGCTCTTATCTTCTCGACTGTCCGTCAACATGTATTCCCCAAACCCTCGATATGAGAGAGCGTGATCCACCGCCGCTTTACTGTGGAAAATTGCCCCCCCGTCTTCCTCCAAAACCCGAGGGTCCCCCCCCCCTCCGAAAATCCCCCCCCTCTGATGGAACCCACCCCCCCACCCCCTCCCCTCCCCCGGCAAACACCCCCCCTCCCCTAACCCCCCCCCTCCAGAAAACCGGGGGGGTCACTACAGGTTCGAACCCCCCCCCCTCCCCCACGAAAACCGGACGGGGGGTCACTACTGGTTCGAACCCCCCCCCCGAAAACCACCCAGAGGAAGGTCACTACCTGTTCGACCCCCCCCCCCCTCCAGAAAACTGGGGGTGGTCACTACCGGTTCAACCCCCCCCTCGAAAACCGGGGGGGTCACTACTGGTTCGAACGCCCCCCCCCCACGAAAACCGGGGGGGGGTCACTACCGGTTCGACCCCCCCCCCTGAAAACCACCCAGAGGAAGGTCACTACCTGTTCGACCCCCCCCACCCACCTCCAGATAACTGGGGGTGGTCACTACCGAATCGAACCCCCCCCCTCGAAAACTGGGGGGGGTCACTACCGATTCGAATCCCCCCCTTCACCTCCCCCTCGAAAACCAGGGGCGGTCACTACCGGTCCGAACCCCCCCCCTTCCCCTCCTCGGGGGGCCACTGCCGGTTCGAACCTCTCCCCCCCCCTCACCGCCAGCAAACGACTCCCGGTCCCTACCACCGTCCGCACCACATCACCACATCTCCCACCGCTGTTCCCAGCACCACTGTCCTCACCACCAGTGTCCCCACTGGTTCCACCACCGTCCCTACTGTCCCCATGAGTGCCCCCACCACTGTCGCACTGTCCCCACTGTCCTCACCACTGTTCCCACCACGGTTCCACTCTCCCCACTTTCTCCACGGCCCCAACCACTGCCCGACTATCCCCACTGTCCCCACTGTCCCACTGTCTCCTCAGCTGTCCCACTGAGCTGTTCCACTGTTCCCACCACTGTCCCCACTGTCCCCACTGTCCCCAGCACTGTCCCCACTGTACCTCTGTCCCATTGTCCCACGGCCGTCCTCGCCACCGCCTTCACCACTGTGCCCACCACCACTGTACCCTCCACTGTCCCGCTATTTCCTCCACATTCCCACTGTCCCCACACCACTGTCCCCACCACCACCGTCCCCACCACTGTCCCACTGTCCCCACTGTTCCCACCATTGCCCCCGCTGTCCCCACCAGTGCCCCCACCAATGTGTCAATGTCCCCACTCTCCCCACCATTGTCCCACCACGGTCCCACTCTCCCGACTTTCTCCACGGTCCCCACCACGGTCCCACTGTACCCACTACGGCCCCACTGTCCCCGCCGCTGTCCCACTGTGCTGTCCCAGCGTCCCCACTGTCCCCATCACTGTCCCACTGTCCCCACTGTCCCCACCACTTTCCCCACCGTGCTACTGTCCCACCACTGTCCTCACCACAGCCTTCACCATTGTCCCCACCACTACGGTCCCCACCACTGTCCCACTGTTCCCACCATTGTCCCCGCTGTCCCCTCACCACTGTCCCCACCACCACCGTCCCCACCACTGTCCGCACCCCCACCCGGTTTTTGAGGGGGGGGGGGTTCGAACCGATAGTAACCCCCCCCCGTTTTCGAGGAGGGGAGGGGGGGGGCTCGAACCGGTAGTGACCCCCCCCTTTTCATGATGGACTGGGGGGGGAGGGGTTCGAACCGGCAGTAACCCCCCCGGGTTTTCCGGAGGGGGGGGGGGTCGAACCGGTAGTGATCCCCCCAGATACCCGCCCTCTTTCAAAGTCGATCGTACTCCTTTGGGGGTCTACCTTTCTTCCCTGCAGGCCGGGCTCTGGCAAGCGGCGGGGCGGCCGCGGACCGTCGGCCTGGCCAGCGGCAACGCTGATCGGCGGCAACCCGACCCCAAGAGGGACGGACACGGGACCGACCACGACGACAACGACGACGACGAAGATGACGACGACGACGACGCCGACGACGACGACGACGCCGACGACGACGACGACGACGACGACGACGACGACGACGACGACCGAAAGCGAGAGCGAGAGCGAGAACGAGAACGAGAGCGACAACGGGGCCACGAAGGGCAGGAAGGGGGCCACGAAGGGCGACAGCGGGGCCACGAATGGCATGCGTATGGGGCCACGAAGGGCGCGAACGAGCGGGGGCCACGAAAGGCAGATATTGCGGGGCCACTGAGGGCAAAGACGGGGCCACTGAGGGTAGCAACGGAGCCACGTAGGGCAGCGAGGGGGCCACAAAGGGCGACAGCGGGACTTAAAAGGGCATGCAAATGGGGCCACGACAGGCGCGAACGAGCGGGGGCCACGAAGGGCATACGTATATTGGGCCGCAGAAGGCAAGGACGGGGCCACTGAGGGCAGCAACGGGGCCACGAAGGGCAGCGAGGGGCCCACGAAGGCGACAGCGGGGCAGCCTGTTGGAGCCTCCTGTGGCATCTGAAGAGAATCTGTGCCCACGAGTCTGGCCACCGATCGAGACATCCTCAAAATCTGACCCACCTGGGGGCTGAAAATGAGCGCCTCGCTCGAGACATCCTCCAAATCTGCTCCGAAAGCGAAGGATGCTGGGACAGAAAACAAGCAAACCGCTTGAGACATCCCCACAAAACGGCCGCGAACGGGACCATGAGATCACCCCTCGGCGGCTCCCCTTAGGAGCGTGAAAATGAGCGCCTCGCTCGAGACATCCTCCAAATCTGCTCCGAAAGCAAAGGATGTTGGAACAGAAAACAGGCCAACCGTTTGAGACATCCCCACAAAACGGCCGCGAACGGGACCGCGAGATAACCCCTGGCGGCTCCCCTCAGGGCGGTGAAAATGAACGCCTCGCTCGAGAAATCCTCCAAATCTGCTCCGAAAGCGAAGGATGCTGGGACAGAAAACAAGCAAACACCTTGAGACATCCCAACAAAACGGCCGCGAACGGGACCCTGAGATAACCCCTGGCGGCTCCCCTTAGGGGGGTGAAAATGAGCGCCTCGCTCGAGACATCCTCCAAATCTGCTCCGAAAGCGAAGGATGTTGGGACAGAAAACAAGCAAACCGCTTGAGACATCCCCACAAAACGGCCGCGAACGGGACCCTGAGATAACCCCTCGGCGGCTCCCCTTAGAGACGTGAAAATGAGCGCCTCGCTCGAGACATCCTCCAAATCTGCTCCGAAAGCGAAGGATGATGGGACAGAAAACAAGCAAACAGCTTGAGACATCCCCACAAAACGGCCGCGAACGGGACCGTGAGATTACCCCTGGCAGCTCCCCTCAGGGGGAGCTGAAGCCAGCGCCCCGCCTGAGACATCCTCACAATCTGCTCTGGTAGCCAAGGATGTTGGGACAGAAAACAAGCAAACCGCTTGAGGCATCCCCACAGAACGGCCGCGAACGGGGCGTGCGTGAGTCTCACCATGAGTAAGTCTGATTAGGAGTAGGTCTGAGTATGAGTAGGTCTGAGTAAGAATAATTTTGTGTGTGAGTCAGTCTCGATATGAGTAAGTCTGAGTGTGAGTCAGTCTGTGTATGAGTAAGTCTGGGTATCAGGAGGAGAGGGGGGGAGAAGGAGAAGGAGGAGGAGGAGAAGGAGGCGTCCAAGTAATAACAAGAACCCCATCTTAGGATATGGGGGACAACAACAACAGCAGCAGCAACAACAACAATGACGACGACGATGACGACGACAACCACAACCACAACCACAACGTCCACAACAACGACAAAAACAACAACAATCACAACAACAACAACCACAACAACAACAACAACAACGACAACGACAACGACAACAACAACAACAACAACAACAACAACAACAACAACAACAACAACAACAAGAACAACAACAACAACGACGACGACGACGACGACGACGACGACAACAACAACGACGACGGCGACGACGACGACGACGACAACAACAACAAAACCAACAACCACAACAACAACAACAAAACCAACAACAACAACAACAACAACCACAACAACAACAACTACGACAACAACAACAACAGCGGCAGCAGGAACAACAGCAACGACGACAACAACAACACAACCAACAACAACAACAACAACAACAACAACAATTGCCACCACAACAACAACAATAATAACAACAGCAACAGCAACAGCAGCAACAACAATTGCAACAGCAGCAGCAACAACAACAATCATGTTAAGACTTTTTGTTCCAACACGGAGGGGGAGAAGGAGGGATCCGCTGCCCTTCCAGAGGGCTATCTATCCGGGAGGCACACCATAGCAAAAACAACAACGGTGCGGTGAACATCAAAGCTGGGAGCCGCCTCGTACAGGCGGGCGGGACTTCTTGGCTCAGCGCGCCAAGGAAAAAAAAAAGTTTATGTTTGCCCCTAGTTCCCGAACAAGCGACAACCGCGGATTACCCTACAATCATCACCGCAAGGGCGCAAGAGACATGGGCTGCATCATGCTAGCCAGAAAGCGTTGCAGTGCCAGGCAACACCAGGGGAGGGGGAGGAGGACGAGGAGGAGGACAGAAAGGAGAAGCCAGCGGGCTGAAATAGACTGAAACTCGCGCGTGCATAGACCGGTCTCCGCGGCCTGTGCCAGAGATGGTACCTGCACGAATGTCCCACAGTCGCTCTGTTCGCTCTGTTCCCGTGCCATTCAAAACGTGTATCCCAAAACCTCGATCCCCGCCCTCTTTTGTCTTCGACCGTACCCCCTTGGGGGTATATCTTTCTTGTCTGCAACGCGTATTTCGTGCAGCCCCTGATGCAGGGGAAGAGAGGACGGATGGAAGGCAAGGACAAGGTGGAGGGAGGAGGATGGAGCACTAGAGAGACTAGGAGGAGGGGGGCTAGGAGCAGAAAAAACGTGGCAGAACCAGACGGGCCGATCGGGTGCCTGGCGCGCGTGGTGCGCCTATCACGCGTGGCGCACCTCGCCCCAGTGTCGCGCACATGGGCTCGGGTTTGGTTCCCAGTAGCTGTCCTTCCGAAGACGACCGCTGAACATGCTGACGCTCGGATGTTATTTATGTGTCAGGAGAGGGTGGGAGTGAGCTAGGCGGTTTGCTATCTAGGAAGGTGTCTTGACCCCTCCCCTACCACCTCCCCTGGACCTGGAGAGGAGGGTCTGCGTGGCGTTGGAGCGTCCAAGATGGCCCAAGATGGCTCCAAGAGGGCCTCAGAGAGCCCAAGATGGCCTCCAAGATGGCTGAAGATAACCCAAGATGGCTCCAGATGGCTCCCAATATTCTCCAAGAGGCTCCAAGACCGTTCCAAGACACCTCCAAGTGGCCATGGAACCTCCCAAGGAGGCCGCCAAGAGGCCAAAATCCAAGGAAAATCAATGGATGTGGCCTTCTCGCTTTTGTGCTTTCGATGGCCTTCTGAGGCCTCAAGACAGCTCCAAAGGGGCCCCTCAGAGCCCCAAGAGAAGCCCAAGAGAGACCCAAAACGGCCCCAAGAGCGCCCAAGAGCGCTCCAAGAGGGCTCCAAGAGGCGATGTTTGGGGTTCCCGTGGGGGGGCCGTAATCAGAGCTCCCCCCTTTTTTGAGCGATCTCCTCCAAGATGGCCCCGAAACAGCCCCGCCCACTGCGTGCTGGCGGCCAGCGCTGCCCCCGCCTCCTCCGCCCTGAGGCAGTCCTGCAGGCCGTGCAGGCCGTCTCTGGGTATGGAAGCGCCGCACCAGCGGCACTGGCCCCCGCGACCACACCCGCCGCTGTGTGCATGCCCCACGGCGTCTACAGAGTCGCCTCGCGGGCGCGCCAGGCGACCGCCCTGTCCGTGAGGCGCGGGTCGATCTCCTCCGCCAGATACTCACGGGAACGGTTCACTCGAGTGGCCTTGGTGGGCGCGTGCGCCAGCTCGCCATGCTGGCCTGCGCACCAGGCGTCGAACGCAGGCGCGCCGAGGACGGCGTGGAGGTGTCGCCGGGCTGTGGCAATCTCCGAGGGGAGCTCCCCCGCCGACACCGCCGCGACCCTCTCCGGCTGGCTCTGCAGCGGCGCGACTTCGATCCAGGCAAGGAGGCCCAGCGCCGCCCGCAGGGTCGTCGTGCCGAGACGCCGCGGGTAACCGAGCTCCCAGAGCGGCAGGATGCGCGGCATCGGCTGGGCCAGGTCCAGCAGCCGCATCGCCCAGCGGTCCTGCACACTGTTGGGGCACCCCTTCCAATCGGCGCGGAGCAGCAGCTAAGGCGTCGCGAAACACGCGCGGGGCTTGACGAGGGCTGGCAGGCCTCGCAAGACCACGTCCGCTGGGAGGCCGAGGAGCTCGATGGCCGTCAGCACGCTGGCCAAGCCATGCTCCGTCCTGCTTTCCGCCTGCTTCATCAGGGGTGCAAGGCGCGTATGCTCGTCGAGCGGGATGCCCAGGGAGTCGTGGGTCTCCGTGACCGCCGCCCAGCCCTGCGGACTTCGGGTGAAAAAGCAGTTCGCCATGCACTCCGTGATTCTAGCAATGTTGGAAAATATGTATCATTTTTCCGCCAAAAAAAAAAACAAAACAAAAAAAACATAGAAAAAAATATGCAAAATCGCAAGTTTTGTCTCGCCTGGCCCACAGGCCCTCAGCGGCGCTCCCAAAGTGCTCTGAAGCCCAGGCGCTGGGCCCCTAACGACAACGATCAGAGGACGATGTCGCCCGTGAACTGAAGCCGATGCGAGTGGGCGCGACTGAAGCCGATGCGAGTGGGCGCGCTGGCGTCGAGGATCCAAGAGGCGCTGCGCGTCGCTGCCTTCTGCGACGAACGCGGCCTCCCAGGCGATCTGACCGCTGCGGCACGCGCGCGCAGGGACCCCCGCCGCGCGCCTGTCCGGCGCGACGTCGTCGCCGCCGCGGGCCAGCTGGAGGCACGCCTGCACGGCGGGGCCAGGCGGGTCCAGACCGACGGCCGATGTGCTCCGTCCCTGCCGCGGTGCCGAGCCGTCGCCCGGCGCACGCGAGGAACGCGGGGGCCAGGTGCCGCCCCTCGGGCATGCCGCTCTGGGGGAGTTACAGGGCTCGTGGCGGCCTGGGGGGAAACCACCCGGACCCTGGATGCGAAGACCCTGTCGGCCGCCAGGGCCAGATCCTCCCCCATCACGCCGGCACCGTTGTGCAGGTCGCCGGCGGTCGCCAGCGGGAACGCCGTGTCGAGGGCGAACCTCCCTCCTCGCTCTTCCTCCTCGCTCCTCCTCCTCCTCCTCCTCCTCCTCCTCCTCCTCCTCCTCCTCCTCCTCCTCCTCCTCCTCCTCCTCGTCCTCGTCCTCCTCTTCTTCTTCTTCCTCCTCCTCCTCCTCCGCGTCCTCCTCTTCTTCCTCCTCCTCCTCGTCCTCGTCCTCGTCCTCGTCCTCCTCCTCCTCCTCCTCCTCGTCCTCCTCCTCCTCCTCCTCCTCCTCCTCCTCTGGCCTCTCTGGCCTCTCTGGCCCCTCCCCCTCCATCCCCGAGTCTCCCAGTCTTCCTCGACCCCAGGCGGGGCGGGAACCCTCGCGCGCACAGGCCGCCAGCCCGTGCTGGATCAGGCCCTCGCCGACCTGCCGGGAGAGCGCGGCGGCGCCAAGGAAGAGAGAGGAGAGAAGGCGAAAAAAAGAGGAGAGGGAGGGGGAAGGGGAGGAAGGAGCGGAGGAGTGAAGGAGAAGAGAGGAGGAGAGAGGAGGAGGGAAGAGGAGCGAGGAGGAGAGACGAGGGAGGTGGGAGGGGGGAGGAGGGAGGCGGGAGAAGAGGACCAGAGCTGATCCAAGGTGCATTAACTATGCTGCCATACACCCTCACGTCCAAGGGGAAGTCCAGTATTCATTTCCAGTACGGGAATCGTCCCCTAAGGACCATTGCCTCGTGGGCCTGCAATTCGGACGAGTGGCACGTCTCGACAAGGTGCCGCCTTCCATCCAGCTGTAGGACATGCCACGAAGTAGTACCATGTCCTGATATGAGAAAGAACTGCCTTCATTCGCACAGCTAGTGCACATACATGCTCACATATTCTTGACCGGATGTACATATGCATGTATACATGCATGTCCACACATATACATTACAAAACAAACAAACAAACAAACAAACAAACAAACAAACAAACAAACAAACAAACAAACAAACAAACAAGCAAACAAACATACGTACATACCTGTATACAAAATAGACACATGTGTATATACACATGCATACGTATACAGTCATACGTACATGCAAATGTACATACACGCATGCATGCATATATGCATGCATACATACATACGTATACACATGTCGAACTATGTGCATAGACACATATATACACACATGTACGCGAACATATGCATATAGATATGCACGCATGCATATACACATACCTGTACATGTAGTTGTACACATACGTATGTATTGCCATCTACATGTATAGTTACCTATACATGTACGCATGCATGTAAGTATATCTAAATACCCATACACATGCACACATGCATATCTATATATAGACCCTAAACGTAGACATGCATACGTGAAAACAAACATGCATGTGTGCATACACACCTACATACATACATTCATGAATGCGTCTACACATATGAATACATATATATACATAAATATATACATACATGCATACATCGAGGGAGGATCAAGCGATATCCCTCTTTTGAAAAGGCACCCTCCTCCATCTATGAAAATGTTGCACCTTGCTTACGTCCTAGTGGAACTCTGAGGCCGTCTCCAGCGCGAGCCCCATTTAGAAAGGCGGGCAAGGCGAGCACCACATGATGCAAGCGAACTCGTCATCATCCATGTCACTGTCAGGAGCTTTCAGGTCGAATGCGCGCGGCGCTAAAGCGGAAGACTCATGTTCAAAACTACCTCAAAGCCGTCCGCAAATCTGTTGGGAATTCGAGTTTTTGGATCATGCCTGGTGCAGATGCCCGAGGCGACACGTTCGGGGCACGTCTGGTTGTGCGACGAGGCAAAGTCGGAGGATGCAAGAGGATGGATAAAGAGGGGGAGGAGGAGAAACTTTTCCCACCGCAAACACGCCAAAAACAGCTCGCCTGGAGGACACGGTCGGCTCGCCTAAAGGAAACTGTCAGCCCAACCTAGGAGGAAACGATCGGCAGAAAGAGGCGGAGGGTGGAGGAAGGAGGGGGGGGGAGAAAGGACTCCTCCTTCACCCTCCGCCCTCCGCCCTCCTCCCCTCCTGCCCCTCCTCCTCCTCCTCCTCCTCCTCTCCTCCCCCTCCTCCTCCTCCTCCTCTTCCTCCTCCTCCTCCTCTTCCTCCTCCTCCTCCTCCTCCTCTTCCTCCTCCTCTTCCTCCTCCTCCTACTCCTCCTTCCCCTCCTCACTTGATAACCCTTGGGGCCCCTCGTCGCCACGGCCAGATCGGCCTCGGAGTCCTGGCCAGAACGCGCCTCAGGAGAGGTCCAGGGGTCGACTTTGAAAGCGGACAGGTGAAGGAGAGGGGGAGGAGTGGGGAGGAAGGAGGGAAGAGGAAGGAGGAAGCAGGAAGCAAAGCGGAGAAGGAGGAGAAGAAGAGGAGGAAAAAGAGGAGGAGGGGGAACGAGGAAGAGGAGGAGAAGGTGGAGGAGGGGGAAGGGGAGGAGTGGGAGGAAGGAGGAGAGGAAAACTACAAGGATAATACGGGAGAGAGCGGAGCAAGGAGAAAGCAGGAAGCGGGGACCAGTGAGGAGGAAGCAGGGAGGGGAGGGAGGGAGGAGAGAGAAGGAAGGAAGAGAGGAAGGAAGAGGAAGACAAGGACGACGAGGCCGACCAGTGGCGTACTCAAAAAATGCACAGCATTCCCTCCAATCACGGGAGGAACTCGCAAGGGTTTCCAACTCTCTGTTTGCGAGCTCATCACGGAAGCCAGTCCCTGATTATTTCGCGTGGTGTTGCTGTCACTCTATTGGAAGGACCGCGTGGGATCCGCGGCCCGGAGAAACAAAAAAGCCCTTACTGGTGACCACGATTTCGCGAAATTCGTGGACACAATGGGCGGCCTCATCTGCGAACTCGTTGAACTTCCTGACAGACATCGCGAGCAGTGACGCCATTCGTTGCGTCCGATGCTTAGTGGGGCCATCTGGTGCTCCAGCTCCTGCGCAAGTTGCCCTAATTCGCTGCCGAATTATCGCATGCGGGCTTGGCTCGGCTTTCGGCTTTCAGTTTCGGGTGCGTCTTCGCCCTTCGGCAGAGCCCTCGGAACGGGGCTTGTCTCGCCTGAAAAAAACGGGCAAGGAGAATCGAAGCCGCCAGGACGCGAATCGTCCGTGTCAGAGACTCGGCAATTCGATTCGATTCCTCTTCACCCGAGGCTGGGTGGACATACTTACCAATGTGCTGGCTCTAGTTCGTCAGCCCAAACAAATACGTGCGAGAAGGAAGAGCTATCCTCCAGAAGCCGCCCAGGGATATCAAAAAGAGGAGGGATGATAATGGAGGAGGGAGGGAGCAGGGAGATAACATGTTGGGGGGAGTGGAGAGGGTGAAGAAAGAGCAGGACGAGGAGGTGGAGCAGGGTAGCAACTAGGGCAGCGGCGAGAGCGGCCAAGAAGAAACAGAAGGGGGGGGCGCACACCCAATTACTTACCTTCAGGAGGCGAAGGATGAAGAGGCGGGGGGAAGGATGAGGAGGAGGATGAGGAGGAGGAGGAGGAGGAGGAGGAGTTGGTGGAGGGGAAGGAAGCATCCCGTTGGATACAGCAACAGGGGAAGGAGAAGGAGGAGGAGGACGACGACGACGAGGAGGAGGAGGACGATGAGGGCGAGGAGGAGAAGTTTCTTTTGGCCCCGACCTCACTGACTGCATGTCACCACAGCAGGGCTGCGCCGCAGCGTGAGACGGAGAAGCAAAAGGCGGCTGCCAACTCGCACTCTACCGCGCGCAGAGTATTCAAATGAGCCTTGGCACAAAGGTAACTGACAAAAAGCGGCGCAGCGGGAGGAGGCGAGGAAACAACAGCAGGACAGGGGCGTGCTGCACGTGCCTGCGAATGTCACCACAGATTTCGCTGGAGGTGGACCTCGGAATTGTCCCCCACGGGCGCGTGGAGAGGAGCCCGCGCGTGCGTACACCGACCAGGCACTGCCGACGGCACTCGCGCCAGGAGAGCTTCGCGGAAAGGAGCAAGCCAAGCAGAAGACACAACCGAGGAGAAGGAGGAGGGGAGAAAGGAGGGATGAAGGGCAGAGAGTCTGGGCACGTGAAGTCTATTTCTGGGCACGTGAAGTCTATCTCTGGGCACGTAAAGTCAGCACACAGCTGGAGAGTCTGGGCACGTGAAGTCAATCTCTGACGTCGCCGCGCGACGGCATCCCGCCGCGCATGAGCCCACCGGGGCGGCAGGCGGGCAAGCCCAGCGCAGTGGCTGAGGGTCGGCCGCCGGCGGCCGGAACGGGGCCCGGCCCATGCACACAGCAGCCCGTAGACCACCGGGCAAGTAGGAAAACGCATGCAGAGCACAACGAAAAGGGAGGCCAGGAAGGGAGGGGACAAGGGATGGGAGAAGTGGAATAGAACAAGGAAGGGCAGGAAGGGATGGGAAAAGGAGGGCGAGGAGGAAGAGGGGGAGGAGGAGGGGGAAGGGGGGGAAGGAGGAGGAGGAGGAGCAGGAGGAGAAGGAGGAGGAGGAGGAGGAGTGGGAGGAGGAGGAGGAGGAGGAGGAGGAGGAGGAGGAGGAGGGGGAGGGGAAGGGTGAGGAAGGGGGAGAAGGGGGAGGAAGGCGACTAGCGGAGGGGGGGGGGAAAAGGAGGGCAGCCATCTTGGCTCAAGACTGAGTCCCTTGTCGCGGGGGCTCGAACGTGTGGTTCACGCCGCCGTGCGGCAACCACCGAGGGGGGCCGACGCATCCATGTCCCATTCCCTTCATAGCTTCCAGGCAGCCGTCCGTATGCTCCTCAGTCGTTTTCCTTTTCGCCCTGGCACGCGCGGCCGCCGTGGTCGGAGGGAGCGTCGGGGGACGGACGGCATACGATGGATGGAAATGCTGCAGGTGCGGATGCGGCCAGAACCTCCAGCGCTGGAAGCACAGAAGCTGGTGCACCTCCCTGGCGCTGGACAACCGCTGGACAACACGCCAACAGTGCAGAAGAGGGAGCTGCCTCCGGTGGAATGCAGGACCTCCAGAAGCTAGTCGGCATTGCTTCGCAGGTGGGGGCAGCGAAACGGTCGCCAAGTATCTGCCATCGTGCCCCTGGCACGTGGAGGCGCGGAAGAATGTCAAGGTCTGTCTGGTGGGGTTTGTGAAGTCTAATCAGGGACCGCCCCTCCTTCTGCTAGCAGGCTCTTGCATGCACCGCCCCTCCTTTCTGATGCCACCCCCCCCGTGCCCCCTCGAGGACAGTGCACTTCCCGCACGGCAGCCAATGCCCAATCCACCATTCCAAGCGTGCCCGCTCCAGGATGGGGCACTTCCACCATGGCAGATAATGCCTGAACCCCCGTTCCAAACGTGCCCGCTCGAGGATGGTGCACTTTCCGCGTGGCATCTAATTCCTGGACCCCCATACTACGTGTTCCCGCTCAAAGATGGTGCACTTCCCGCGTGGCAGCTAATGCCTGGACCCT